TATATATATATATATATAAACATGAGTAGCTGGCATTTCACATTAGCCAAACCCATGAAGCTTTTAGTAGGATTAAGGGGTGCCACCTCTTTCTTTGGAAATTATAGTGAGATAGAAAAAAGTCTTGGCTGATCTATAATCTGTTTAAAAGCGATCCTCAGCAGTCAAATCATGATTCTAATGGAGAGCAGGTGCATGATCTTGGGTCAAAACCTGTAAATCTTGATGGATAACAGAGATGCTGTGTGCCACCGGGAGATGGCTGGAGGGCGGCCTGCTGGCATTCTGTCTGTTAAATGATGCAGCGACAGTGAGTGCTGCTGACTGCAACCAACCTTGGCTGAGTGATGTTGAGCATACTCATAACAGAGCGCGATTACACAAAAACAACAAATGCAGAGTTGTGTTCACATGCGGAGTGTGGAAAAGCTTACACAAGCAAACACAAGGGCATTTAAAAGCTACTCAAAAAGATACTTATGGAGCCATCAACTCAAAACAAAACTAACCTTGACAGACAGGTGGGGGCCCGTCCATCTGCAACCTCTCTCCGAGTCGGCAGGTCAGAATCTCACTGCCCACCAGGGTGAAGCCCGGCAGGCACGAGTACCGGATGATGTCCCCTGTGAGGTCATTTACACCAGCAATCAGAAAAACAAACAAAGACATCCAAAAAAAAAGAACATGAAAAACATTTACATCCACCCCACTCCCACCACACACACACACACACACACACACACACACACACACGCCAAGCCACGTCAGTAATACTCCTCAGCAATAGCACTTGAAACAGTAATCAACCACACATTTCCTAATGAAGATTGACATCCCTTAGTACTGAAGGCACTTCATTAAATTAACACAGCCATAAACTTGTACGTGAGTGCACATGCAAAAAAAATAAATAAATAAAAAAATCTAAAATAAAACTACACACGAATTCAAAGGCATAAAGTGAGGCAGCCACTAGCCACATGACTTCCACTTCACTTTACTAATTACTTCTGAGCACTGAAAAAAACAAACAGCTTATAAGTACATCTAATTAGCCTCGCCTTCTAACTAATATTTTAATGCATGAAGCATGAATAGATGGGAACTCTTAAAAGGATGAGTAGAGTGGAGGAGACACAGGCTCCAAGGATGGAATAAGTTTGAGTAAAGGCTACAATTAACATCGGTCTAGATAAAAAGAGTACAGAAAATGTGACTGAATACACAGAACGGTTTCAGAAAGCATTCAGACTCCCTTCACCGTACGCAATTTTATCAGGTTCAGCCCGATGTTATGGTTGTTTAATCCTGTTATTTTTTCCTAAACAACCCAAAATCAATCTCCATAATGTCAAAGTGAAAACAGAGATTTATATGTTTTTTTTTTTTTTAGAAAACAGGAAAATTATATTCACATATATTTTGCTATAACACTAAAATTTAACTTGTGTCTCATTTTTCTCTTGATCACTGCTGGGATGTTTCTCCACCTCAAGTAAACTATATTGATTAATGCTCGCAACTTTAGAGACTGAAAATGCACATCAAAGCAAAAAAAAACAAACTTTGAGGTCAAAGAAACTTCCGGCAGATTGTTGCAATCCACAATTCTGCTGCACTGAACGTGCAGTAGTTCAGTGACTTCCATAGATCTCAAAGGAAGATGATTAGCACAACCAGAACTCGTCCAAGAGTTGGTCAGTCAGCCACACTAAGCATTCAAGGGAGACTGGCCATAGCCAGAGAGACGACCAAAAACTTGATTAACACCCTGACTTTGCTTCAGGACTGCTATATGGAGATTAGACTCTGTTGCAAAACATCAACCTACACACATCCATCAATCTGAGTTTAATAGTAGAGTGGCTCAACAGAAGTCTCTAGACAGTGGGAACACTTGAAAGCCATTTGGAGTTTGCAAAAATGCATCTAAAATTACAGAAGAACACACATCCCTGGTCTGATGAAACCAAAAATTAACTGTTTGGCCTCCAATCTAATTACTGTGCTTGGAGGAAATCAGGCACTACTCATCACCTGCCCAACAACAACCTCACAGTGAAGCATGGTGCTGGCAGCGTCATACTGTGGGGAAACTGGTAAGGGTTTAAGTAGAGCTGAATGTTCAGAGATATCTACAGTGAAAATCGGTTCCACAGAGATAAGGACCTCAGACTGGGCAGACTGTTCACCATACAGGGATCATCAATTCCAGTCCTCGAGGTCCGCAGCCCTGCATGTTCTTGTTTCTCCAAGTAGGGGTCTCTGCAGAACGTGTTGTCATGTGGGCGGAGACGGCCCAAATCGTCATTGGCCGAGGTCTTAATGTGGGCGGAGACGGCCCAAATCGTCATTGGCCGAGGTCTTAATGTGGGTGGAGACGTCCATATTCATGATTGGCAGAGGCCTTGAAGTGGGCAGAGATGGCCCAAGAGATGTGATTGGTCGGATTGACGGAGGCTGGAGGCAGCAGGGAGTAGCTTCGAGTCTGGCAGGAAGTAACATTTTTTTATATTAATTTTAGTCATAACTTGAGAAAGGAAAGTGCTAGCTGCACGAAATTTGAACGTCATACTTGTGAAAGGATGTGAAACAATATGGCTTGGCTAAAACTCCCCTAACTAACCTGTAAAAATTTGATTTTTAGCAATCTTTTTACAGGCTGGTTAGGGATGTTTTAACAAGCCATATTGTTACACATCCTTTCACATGTAAGAGGTTCAAATTTCATGCATCTAGCACATTCTTATCTGAAGTTATGACTAAAATTAATCTTAAAAAACATGTTGCTTCCTGCCTGACTCGAACAAGCTACTCCCCGCTGCCTCCAGCCTCCTCAAACCCCACCGTGAATCTGACCAATCACGTCTCTTGGGCCATCTCCGCCCACATCGAAACCTCCACCAATCACGAGTAGGACCGTCTCTGCCCACAGGACAAAACCTACTGCAGAGACCCCTTACTCTGTTTCTCTGCTCCAACACACCTGATTTGAATGACTAGATGATTATCAGGCTTCTGTAGAACTTGGATAGATAATTCACTGACTGAATCAGGTGTGTTAGAGAAGGGGAAAAAGTAAAATATGCAGGGCTGCGGACCTTGAGGACCGAAAAGACAGCACAGGTGTGGCTTAGGGACAGCTTTGAAAATGTCCAAGAGTTGCCCAGACAGAGTCGTGACTTGAACCCTATATAACTCTGAGGAAACCTGAAAGTGTTCATGAAGACGCTCCATTCAGTCTGAATAAACTAGTCAACAACAAATGTCAGAAAGTCCTTTATGCATGGTGCGAAAATGTTGTTGCATATATTCCAGACAGACTCATAGCTGGAACTGTGGCAAAAGTGCTTCAACTAAGGACAAAATATGTGAGGAGACATGTTTTAGGTTTTTATTGCTATCAGGTTTACAAAATTTATAAAATTCAGTTTTTGCTTTGTCATTATGAAGCGCTAGAGAGTAAGGGTACAGCTAGTTGAAGAAAAAACAAAAAAGAAACAAAAATACAAAACCATAAGGAGAGTCTGAGCCCTTTTTGAAGCTACTGTATATATAT